CGGGCAGCGCTCTGCGCCCGGGACCCCCGGCGGGGCAGCATCCCTCCTGTCCCCTCCCTAACACCAGGGCCCAGCATCTCCCACTGTGAAGCTTTCCAGGCCCCAGCATCTCCCGCTGCTGCCAAAGCAGGGGCTGGGGGGCTGTTTCCCTGGGTGGCCCCTACCCTCTCGGCCGGGGGGCACCCACCTTCCCTCACTCACCTAGCTGGGGGGCACCCAGCCCTGTTACCCGCACATCAAGGGCTGTTCTCCTAACCTAAGCATGCTGGAGGCCCCCAGCCAGCCCCCCAGAGCCCAGGGGATGCTCAGCCCTGGTCTGGGCACAGGAAAGTAAAGGGCTGGACCACAAAGCAGACGAGGATGGGGTACAGAAAGGGGCCCCTTGCAGCCTTTGGCACAACACTTTCATCAGACCTTCGGCTGCAGGTCAGAAAGAAATGCACCCCTCGTTAAACCTGCACTGCCATGGTACCACTGCAGAACCCTCTACCCGTTACCCAGGCGGACTGTGCAGTGACAGGTTACACACGTGTGGGTGTCACTGTAGACATGCTGCCCAGGCCAGTGCCGCATGACGGACAACACAGGCATGGCCAGATACACCACAAGCACACGTTAACGGGGATCACAGCGTACTCCAAGGAAGAGCAGGGCATGCAAGTACAGCTGGCTTGTTATCCCACGTGCCTTCTCAGGCAACAACGCAGGTGGAGAGACCCATGAGAAGGTCTAGTGACATGGACACCGCCACCAGTTGGACTGATAGAGGTTTTTTTCCAGAGTGCTGCCCTCTCACAGTTAAGCATCAGTCCCTATACCTGTTTGAAAACACCCTATACACAACTTGCTTCTATCCCACAACAAAACCTCCGCTGCCATTCACATGACACACAGGAAATGCAGACACACAGATGCGCACTTAGAGGAAACCTTCATACACTCACTGTGTACCACTAAAGGAAACCAAAACACAGCTGGGGAGAGGAGGAGAGGAAGATTTATCTTAATGAACACGCCCTGGTCACGATCAACTCACATATTGAGATTTCAAAGCACTCCACATCCAGCAGAATATTAGTCCTCTCCCCAAAACTGATTCATAAAGCCAGGTTAATAAAAGTGCTGCATGAGCCTGGTAACGATACACTTCCCATCTCCTTGCCTTCCTTCATACCACCACACTGTTTGCCTTTGGTTCTGGAAAGCCCAGCCATCCGTACTCCTATAGCCCCAAGATGTGGCCAGCCCAGCTTGAGCTCTACCCACCGCTTCATCCAATATTTTGGTGATGGTCAGGGCTGAAGCCCCGTGATGGGACTGCAAGTTGAGGTGCAAACGCTTACACAGCTGCTATTTCTGCTGGCACTAAGAAGGATGTTAGTACCTGAATGTTTCTAGCCACATGCACGCACGCACAATCCCCGTCCCCACACCCCCAAATGAGGGGACAAACATTAAAACGACGTACAATTTTGAACTGCAAAAGTATGTAAGAAATAGTGAAACAACAAACCCCATCAGATCACATAAAAAGCCTAGAGAATTCTCCGAGCCAGGGACCATGCACCTCCAATGTTTATAAATTAATTATCTGAAAAACCCAGGTCACTCCTTATTGCCACAGCCCCTGAATTTTAGAAGTCTGGCGTGCAGCCAATTCCAGAAGCCGCATTGATCCTGAATGACCGCAACAACCCCCCGCACGCACACCCTCTCCTCTCCTCTTTCTCTCCCTCCTTCCCTCCCCTGCGCCCCTACCCCCTCGCACAGCCCCCCCCGAGGATCTGTTATTTACAATCCTGCACTCTGACAGTTGGGAAATCAGATTGATTGACAGGGGGACGCTGGCGGATGGAGGTTCCAGGCACGGAGACAGACTGAATTCAGAATGTGGGATGAATGCCACTGGGAGAATGGGGGCGGAGGAGGCGGGGGGGGGGTTGAAAAGCAATTAAAAAAAAAAGATTTCTAAATTATTAACATTTTTTAAATTATTAATGTTATTGGTGCCTCCATGTGAGCCCGCAGATAAACTGCGCTTTGTACTGGCACTAATAATTTATAGCCCAACCAGAGCCCTGTGGTGTGGAGACAATCCAAAATACACGAAGTTTTGTCTTGTCAATGTTACACGAGAGAGTCTGTCTGTGCAGACTCCTTTTCTCCCCCTGCCCACCCCAAAACCTCAGTGTGACCCCTCCCCTAACAAACGTTGATGAGACAATTCAATCATAATCCATAAAAAAATACGTCAGGCTTTTAATGTAATGAGCTACTTTGCTCACTACATGGGGGGAGAAGGGGGTGATAGCAGCTGCCCTGCAGCACGCGCTCTGTCTGCATGTACATGTTCCGCACGTCCGGCAGCCGTCCGGTGCCCAGGTTAAGTGGTCTATCATGGCTGTCTGTTACAATCCCGGCACACGTAACACGTTTTGTGCCGAGTACACACTCTGTTGTATTCAACACGGCCTACACAGACCTGCATGTCATGGCTGAATATTCAGCATTTGCACGTCGGCGTGTGTTACCCTTTTGTGCGCGATGCATGTTACATACCATCCTCTCGCTGTGCTCGTGTTCATTGCACGTACGTGTGCGAACTCCAGCCCTACGGTGCGTGGCTCTGCCCCGTACCTATGTGCCATGCTTGCAGGAGCTCTGCATCGCTGTAAATGTCTGGGACAGCCGAACACCACACACAGAAGCATGTGCCATGTTCACTGCGGTGTGCCTCATCACCGGTTTATGTCATGCCTTTGCTGATAAGCAAATCCTTACTCCACAGCGGAAGGAATCGCCTTCTTGCCCCCAGAGAAGCCAATCAAATCAAACAGAGTGGAAAAGAAGACAGCCTCTTCATTAACCTAACAAGGAGCCCTGGGGATTTACACTCTAGACCAGAGATTCTCTTCTAGCTCTCGCTGGATGCTTCACCGACATTGCTTGCGCTCCTTCCCTGGATCACCCAGGCAGGTCCGCATCAGCACGCCTTCGGTAGGAAGCGGCACAGGGGCTACAGACTCTTGCACAGCACTGCTTTTCAGTGCCGCTTCAACCCTCCTCTTCCAAGACTAGAACAGCCTCACCTCTTCCATCTCCCTGCCTTTGCCTGATCCAGACAGCTGAGTTACCTCCCTCGCTCCTGCATCAGAGGACTCGGGTACAATGCGTGGCTTTACTCTGGCCGGAGCCGAGCCAGCGCCAGGGAAGGTGAAGTGTCCCTGCGGGCCGGGGAGCCTTCAGCCTGCGGAGGGATGCTCGTGGCTCCTGTGCTCTGCCACGGGGTTCCTAGGGTGGGACCTGTAACTGCCTGGTGCCCCCTTTAGGCACAGCGCAGGATGCTGCAGCCGAGCTGGATGGATTTAGCCAGCTTCCTCCACAACCCAGGCAAAACCCACCAGCAATCCTGCAATTCCTGCGGGACCCATTAGAGCCTGGTACTGCAGGACCTTTATCCCCTCAGGACACCGCTCCAGCCCCAGGACAAGGCAGCAGCATTGGTATCTGTTAATGAGGAGGCCGCTTCAGGACCAGGTTTTGGGTTTTCCCCTCCTTGCATTAACGTGACTGCACAAGCGCCAGCCTCCTTCTGAAGAGCAGAATGGCAGCATCTTCCCTTCAACACCGATATCGCTGCAGAAATACTCCTGTGCTGCTAAAGCCTAGAAACAGCAGACAGGCAGGTACAGAGGCACAGTCTGCAGTGCCTCAACAGGCCTTAAAGAAGGGCTGGAGGGTCCCTCAGCTATCCCCAGCTCAACCTCAGAGGACCATACCATCCTGGGAAGGTCTGAGGACAATTGCTTAGTGCTGGAAGCTGCGACCTACAAGGTCCTTACGGCAATGCTCTGAGGGAGCCCTCACCGTGTCAGCATACACTGGGTATGGAAGAAGTTCTCTTCCTTTCAGCAACCCTTTCCTTCACTTTTCCACAGCAGATCTGGTTTCGGCTAGTGAAGGACCAGATCATTCCTTGGTGATGTAAGCATAATTGCTTTCAATAGACGATACCATGGATAAACCTGTCCCACGGACTTCAGCATTTGCCTGCGAAGCAGTCTTCGCTGCAACTTAGCTTCATCTGTGTATTTTAATTGTCCATAAAACCGTAAGACATCTAATTCTCATTAAGGTGAAAGGTCTTTAACACCAATTTACACTATGTCTGTATGTAGCAACTATAACACAAACTTTCTAAACCGAGCACTATCAACGCTTATCTAAATCCTGCAATGTCATCTTGCTGTTTCAGATCTCATCACTAAATGGGCAGAGTATCGGCACTGCCGACACCTCACACACCCCCTGCACTATGCCAGCACTCACTCCCCTCGCCCCACAGTATGACCCCAAATAAGACTTACACCACAGATTCTGAACATTCAGATTGACACGATCTCTTGAAACAAACGGAAGAAAAGGACCCCCCTCACCACCACTGCAAAATACACAGTTAGTGATGGTGCAGCTCGTCTATTCCAGTAAACAAATGCATAGCCCCCACAGAGATGGTGGGAGAAACAGTCCGTAAGATACTCTTTAGCACCACCTGTACTCACTGCGTGATAAACATGCAATATCGCAGCCCGTAAATCCCCCTCGCGTGCACACAGGGGTTAGGGACATCTTACAAGACTTATACCGAACGGCAAAGCGAGCCCCTTCTCCTCCCGTACCTCCATGGCTGGGCACTGCCATGCTGTTGGCCAGCTGGTAGAGACGTTGCTGCTGCTGCTCTTCAAACGTGCCGTGTTCATTCAGTGCTGACATCATGCGTCTATAGTGCTCCTCTGGGGTCATCTGAGTCACCGAGTCCTCAAGCAGAGGCGTGTGGGAGTTTTCTGAAGAGCAGAAAGATTTGGTCTTTTTTTCCAGAGAGAAATACAGTGGAAAATCACATAAGTATGGGGATGGCGCAAAAGAAAGAGAAAGGGGGGAGAGAGGGATATTGGCACAATTCCCCACAACTCTGTAGCGTACCCACTGAACTCGCTGTACTGAGCTGCCAAACGGAGCTGTCCCTGTGCTGTGAGATGGACCATTATAGGCGGTCAAGACACCCCTACAATTTGCTAAACCTCCAAACATGGGCACGTTTATATACAGAAAAGTCTACAGCTTCAATTGCCACAGCACCCAAAAAAGTCATGAACAACTTCCCCTCCTCAAGTCCCCCAAAGCAACGAGCCTGGCATTAGAGTAACGCAAAATTACCAGCAAGCTCTCTACCCGCAAAGGGGCAAAGGGGACAGGCAGGATGAAGGAGTTCACGGAGTTCTCACCCTTTCATCTTGGGTGACAGGAGTTCTCTTTTTCAACTAATACCTGATCAGACACGCAGCTCCTTCCCCCACCTTCTGAACACCCACAAGGACACAACGATGTGAGAGCTGTCCAAGCACCCGCTGTGGGTGATGCTGACAACCGCACAATAGACAGCGATGACAGCCCACCTGCCCAGCTCTTGGAAGCAAGTCACAAAAGCAGGTTGTTTCAGATCTGTACATACGGCTAAGCACCCAGAGGCCATTAAAATTACACCCACCACGTCTACCTCTCCATCTTCCCGGAACGGCTGCGGAGCCCAGGAGGGAGGCGCTCTGAGGAAGGCCCTGCCTGCTCCCTGGGCAGTAGGGATCCCACTCTAACAGTCAGGGAGATAAAACCACAGAGGCTTTGTGTTTACTGTAAGCAGAACTCAAGAGTAATTACCGTTCTCCGCCTTGGCGGTGGCTGCTCTAACACCATTTTATCTCGGATCTTCCCCACAGGCAAAAACCTTTTCATTACTGGGAGAGGAACTCCCAGTAACAATCTGAACGCGCAGAAGGGAAGGGAGGGAGCTGAAGGGCTCCCCCCATGCTGCAGTCACAAGACCACCGCTGCCTTCGGGGAATGAGAAGACCACCCTACCGTGTGCCCCAGATTCGTGCTCCTTCATCCACCTCATTTCGCAGACGGAGTCCCTCAGGGCTCACTGCAGGTGACTCTGCTGCTAGACTGGGACGCGACAGACCAAATTCAAGGTGGTGGCTCTGAGCACAGGCACAGCCTCAGCGCTGGGACGAATATCCAGGCCATCTTGCTGGGAAAAGAGCTGTGGATCTCTCTCAGGTGAGAGAAAGGCTCCTAAGGTAGCTATCAGAAAAGATAGCTTATGGCAAACAAATACAGTCCAAGAGACAGAGCGCCCGTAAAGCGTGGTCCTGCCACAGCGGCTCGGGGACTGCCTCACTGCTGCCTTGGCCAAGTCGAGAGGCCATCGGTGGCAAGTGCTGTCTGCCACCAAACTCATTACACAGCCAAGCAATACAGGGGCTCAGATTTTGGGGACACAACCTTTACATGCAGTAATGAAATAATCTCCTCCAAAAAATACAGGAGGGGCTAATAATAATAATAACAACAACAATAATAATAAAGAGTCTGAGCTGCACAGAGTTTGAGTAAAAAGGGCTGCATCACTGGCTCCCAAGGCACTCTTCCTCTGCAAAAGGGAAATGACTTCAGTCCCCTCCAACCCAGGTCAGCCGTCCAGCTCAGCAAGGATTCTCAATCAGCATAGCAATTTGCGGCTGTATCTGCAACCGCTGATCTCTACCCCAGCGACATGTACCTGCATCTCGGGGACCACAGGCTTCCTGTGCAGCTCACAGGTTCACGGCCTGCTGCGAGCTAGCGAGGCGCTGGTCCCCACCCTGAACTGTGTGCATCACGTTTAGAAACCAGACCCGAAAGAGGGAGGCTGTGCAAGCAGCCAGCCACGCCGTGCCTGCTCCCTCCACTCCCCACCGCCGGTACCCACGCCTGCAAGACACCAGTGGAAGGGAGCAGGAGGGTGGGGGACAGAATTCCCTTCCCGCCAGGTCACTCCGCAGGCCAGATTCCCACATCCTCCTCCGCTCTCTTCCCACCTCCCCCAGGAACGCAGAAGCGCACCAACTGTTTCAGTTCCCTTCTGATGCTCTTAACCAAAGGTCTAAGGAGCAAAGCCACATGCCACAGACCTGATTTAGAAAAACACTGATATTTTTTTTTCCCCCCACAGCTGTGTCATTAGAGAAAAAAGGGAGGGGGGAGGGGATTTAATAACACTTAATTACCATAAAATCTATCCGATCAGC